TTTTCGTCAAGTCAGGGACTGAAATATCCCACAATGCAACAGTTTTGATTACAAAGCCAGCGGCCCTCCGCGATTCTTCAGCAGTCTTGTCATGGCGACGAGGGTGCTCTTGCTTTCTCCTGGCTAACCGAGCGCAATTTTCTCATTTTTCTATCGCTTTTTACCCGAGAGAATGATAAAGAACCGGACAAACAGTATCAGAACGAAAGATAAAGATGGATACACGAGACGAGCTGGCTGTATCTGCTTTAAAACCGAACAGGAGAAAGAGGTTTTGACAACATTTCCCGTTTAGTTGCACATGGCCGGTCGACTTTTGCTGCGGTTCGATTTGCTAATGTGGCGTGTATGTTTGTTCTTCGTAGGTGTTGTTAGTTTCGAGTTGTCGGCATCCTGGTAGGTGGATTGTGCCTTCAGGAGGGGTTGAGCCTGGCGAAGAATCGAGTGAAGCTGCCATTCGGGAAGTTGAGGAAGAAGTTAGTAACAGACTAGAGCTGTTTTGTTTTACACACAAGCTTGTTCAACTAAACAAAAGGGTGCATTCGTTTCGCTAGGTTGAGACAGACGACTACCTGGGCTTTATTTGTTTTTTCACTTTTGTGTTTCTTCTATTCGTAGGCTGGAGTTCGGGGTAAACTAGGACGTTTTCTTGGCGAATTTCAGGTCTGTATTCTACTGTGTTTAGCTTGTAGTGTCTTCTGAAGTCTGCTACTGTTCAAGTGTTTACTTTCAGAAACTTGTGCTCATCCGTTTACGATTTGATCATTTTCTTTTCAGAACGATGTAAATCAAACCCGAACCTCTGTTTATGTCTTAATTGTAACAGAAATGCTCGAAACATGGGAAGAAGGTTTGTGAATGCCATTATGGAATATATTGATAAAAGTTCTGTATGGGGAGCAGATATTACGAACGTTCATGTAGAAGAGCTTTAGTACGTCAACAAAGTAGTAAAATTGCTTTAATTACGAGTTGTGTATTTTAGTCGGTGAATTTATAAGTAGTAGCCCTCAGTGTTTCTTCTCTCAGTGAGCTTTCGGTCACACTTGATACGATCAGACCTTTTCCTTGCGTGAACTCTCGAAACCCAAGCCTACGTCGAATTCGCTCTTGTTTTGAAATCTGCAAAAGGTAAAGGCCAAAGTCTAAGCTCCACTTTGGTTTTCTGTTTTGCAATTATCGTAACGTAACTGTAAATGTGGCTTTGGCGGCATATTAGATGCCCATGGATGTTTTAATAACAGAATTTAAAACGGCTTGTCTCTCGGTCATGAATTTTAAAGGAGTGAAAATACTTTGACAGTATTAATTTCTGTCATCAATAGCTAAGGTCCTTCTTTGTCAATCTGTAATCCCTTTATGCCCACAGTGGTGAAATGAGGTATTTTTGTTTCACAGAACAAAGATCAACACTGAAAATAAGACATGTTTTGGGCTAGATTTTTAGGAAGGGGTTATTCATTATTAACGAGTTGGAGACCCCTCACGGGACATGGACCTTGATGAAACGTTGTTTTCAAGTCTGTGATGGCAAAAAAAGATGTTGACAAAATATTTTAAGTCACATATGGAAATCCAGCATGCTTATGTCTATGACAGTTCAGCTTAGAGGCTACATCTTCACTGCTAATTTCCAAAATTCAAAATCAGTTCTCAGAAGGATTTTATTGTTTATGTAGTGCCAATCAGCTTCAGTTTGAGTGAGTTAGTTTAGTGCATTTGGCAAATTTATTTATAGAAATGTGGCACATTTTGTTGTTGTTTTTTTGTCCAATCATGATAAACAGTTCTGTTAAAATTTGACAACCCAAAATTTTACATTGATATCAAGCTGCTTCATCTCAGACAAGCTGGTCTTTGAAGAAAATAATTGTAATATGTTGATTCCTCTGCAAAATGGAGATAGAGATGTATTAAGCCAAGTTAATTGTTATTTACTTACTGTAAACCCCTTAGGGACATTAAATGCTGCTAACGTTTTTCAATTACAAGCTACCACATTTAAGGAAAATAACTTGCGATTTGTTTTGGACACAAATGTTTTTATTTTGAGAAAGTCTACAAATGAGGATATTAAAAAGTTTCTGAAGGAAGAAAAGGTCACATTAAGGATTTATTGAGGTGTTAATCTATGAAATATTGGAGGTGTCTGTTTCAAGGGGTGACTTTGTTGTGCTTTTAAACATAGAAATAAGCCCAGGTGTTAAAATTTTATAACTGAGTATTTTGTTTAAAACATAACTTCTTGGAATGAATGTGTGTGAAATCAGCATATAAATGTACACATACATTGTATTTGCCATCAATTTGGTGTTTTATGGAGTGTTGCAGGGCAACCCTAAAAGAAGTAATGTTTAAGGCAGCTAGATTTTTGTGGAAGGGGGTGGGGGACAGTTGGCTGTTGGGTTGTCATGCTTACTTTCCTGACAGACAAACCCATTCAAGCTGGGTGCTAAGTAAATAATGATTTCAAAGTAAGCAAGTAATTGTTTAAAACTGTGCTGGGCAAGCAAAATTTGACAGTTGCTTGTCTGAAGGGTGAGCAGGAAGACAAGTTTTTTTCCTAGCCCTGGTGTTATATGTATGTAATTTATGACTTCATGTGAAAACCAATTTGCTTTTTAAAGTAGTTTCAGAAAAAAAAAAAATGGTAATGACATTGTGATCATTATGGAAATATTATTAGTGGTAAAGATTTTTGTACAGGCCAGCAAATGATGCATTATGGTTAGTGAAGAAGTTATTGGCAAGTCAGTTCTGCAAGGTTTTCCTTTTTTTACTATGAACATCATCTGTCCTTGCTGTGCTAAGGGACGCGCAAGGCCTTACTATGAACAATATAAGGCATCGCAAAAAAAAAAAAATCAATGCACACTATCATCCTTAGTCTGTGATTTAAACTGAACTTGACTGTACCTGCTGAAAATAACTCAAGGAGATACAGCACAACCTTGAATGCACAGTTCAAACTGCTGTGGTAGAAAAACTTCACTCAGTGAGGTAAACAAAACAATGAAAATCTCAGCGGGCATACTATTTTTTTTTAGCTAAAACCCTGTATTGACATTTTTGGTTTGGTGTGGAGTTACTTATGTGACTTAGTTGTGTATCTATTGATAGCTTATCAAATAATAATATTATTATTTTTTTCTCCTTTCCCTTTTGACACAGACCGCACTAGGTCTTGGTTTCCAGTGGAAAAGGCAAAGAACATGTTAGAAGCCAAGCCATATCAGCAGAAATACCTGGATAAAGCTTGCAGTGGCAGGTGACACATCATCTTCAACCAGAAAAGCTGGTTTGTCCTGGTAGATGTAATGTAAAGTAGCAGAGTGCCTTGTTTAAAATATAGTGAGTGTTTAAATGTTATATACAGCACTCATGCCTTAGATAAAGTGTCATATCTGACTTACATATATAAGCTGTCATAGATGAAAACTACTGCAAATGTCTGGAAAAGCGGCTGAGAAAGAGGAAATGGCTGTTCATTAATCCTGCCTTGAAAAAGAAAATTAACTCCATGTGCATTTTTGCATTTTTACATTTTTATTGGCTCTAGCTGTTAGACAGAGGATATTACACAGCAGTGCAAAGATATGAATTTTATTTTTGAGTGGTAAGAACAATGTTTTATGAATGAGCCCAGCGAGCTATTAAAATAAAATTCATATCTTCAAGCCACTGTGTAATTTTCTTTTTATTATATGGACAAAGTAACTGTTTGCACAACTGGCTGTGAGAAAGCAAGAACTGACGTCATCAATATCTCACCAGTGAGGATATGGAAAAAATGCCACCCGCGTCCTGGATGTAGTTTTGTATGAATTTTACGAGTGGTGTATTTTCCATTAAAGTGTATATGACAGAAAAGTATTTTCCTTCCTTGATATATGTGATAAATGAATAATGTTTTGAAAATGCAAAAAAAAAATAATTTGGATGATTTTTCAGTGGCCAAAATACAGCCAATTTTCCTATAAAAGTGTCCTGGGAAACTGTGGTCGAGAATTGTGTTTGTGACGTCATAGTGTTTGATGACATTGCTGTCACGGGAAGCTGCCTTGTCATTTCTCTTGCACATGGCTTCAAATGTGCGAATGATTTACTAGCTAGTAACGCTAATTTTCAACCCATTCTGTTTAATTTGGTGATATCAAGTGACTTGTTTGTTTGTCAAACACAGTGACGTCACAGGTGTAAATCATGTGACATTTTGGCCGCGTGATCTGTGGGACAATTTCAACATGAAAGTAGTGCGTATTTTGAATGAAAAAAACTGGTTTCAAAATATTTCCACAATCTAAAAACTTTACAACTGTTTTTCTAACATTATTAACAACCAGAATCAGTGGGAAAAAAATTGTGTCATATACACTTTAAAACACTTGTGTCTAATATATAATTTTTATACCTACCAACCTTACCTGAGTCAAAGGCATGAGACTTTTAGCATGGATGCACTGGGAGTTCTGAAGACAACCTAACCATATCCAAATTTCATTCGAAGATTTGTGAAGACATTTCAAATATTACCTAGTCACAATCCTGGGATGTGTTTGGCCAACATAATGTTGTCACCATTAATGTTTTTCTTTTAAAATTGGAGAATTGAAGGAGTCTATTCTTGCATTAGTCCTAATTTACATATCTTTTGTAAATGTGTCAGTTAAGGTTGTAAAAGTTCAAATTTTCAACTAAGTTGGATAAATCAGACCATAGCTGTGTGATTGAAGTTTTGACTCGCAGGCAACAGACTCATGTCTTAGGTGGGAGGGTTTGCAAGTGTGTAGTTTACGTCCTGTGATATGATGTAGAAATTGCTTTTTGGTTTTGTGCAGGAACTTTGCTGCAGATTATTCCTATTTGTATTACTCTGTTTTGGAAACCTTAGAATATGTTTTGAGATAGGAAAAATTGATCCAGCAAAAAGTCCTCCCCTTCTGAATTAAATAACCGTTTTTGGAACAAATTAGAAGCTTGCTCAGTGGCAGGTGATTTTCAGAAGTTTGTGGCATATTCAATTTGACAGTTTTAATATGACACTTTGATGACAGAAACAGCATGCAATATCAAAGATACATCCAGATATATTGTATGCAGAAACCAATGGGAAGTTAATCGGGTTTATTAACCTGTATCCTGCAGTTGTGACCCTTCAAGCCCTAATGTGTGTACATCAGTAATACAGTGGAAGCCCTCATAAGCAGACACCCTTGTGATGCTAAAAAGCTGTCCATAACTGGAGCTGGCCACTTAAGAGAATAGTTCTTGTACATGGCCACTAGTGTTGTAAGGGAATGCAAAAATACCTGCAAATCATTTTTGGTTATGTTTTTTCTTTTGCCTTGTGCAGTGCCGCGATAATGGTGATAACTGCATGTACACATACTTGCTGCCAGCGAGCCGGTAAATGCAGAGTTTGTATGGGAGTTCAAACTGGATTTTGTGAAGGCAGTTGTTAGTAGAGCTGTCTGCTTATAAGAGTGTCTGTTAAGAGAGCTTCCACTGTATTCTTGTTGCCAGAAGAGTCTTGTAGATTATTAGTGAGAAAAATTTGATTTTTGTATGACAGTTTTGTTTTTCTTTTTACTACTTTTACCGTCATGACATGTCAAAGTTTGAAGGTATTCTAAGTATTTTTCTGGAGAACAATCTTGTTAGGGCTTTAAGGGTTAAGTTTATATATATTATTATTATGTATTGTGAGAAGGACACTATTTTGGTGTGTTGAACAGCAATTAGTGTAATAGTATCTAAGAAAGTGTTTAGCAGTAAAAACAGTAAATTAAAATAAGTAAATGTTTTTCAGTTTTTGTTAATAAGTTATGAATTAGTGTGTGCGTTATTGGTTGGCATGTTTCAGTGATTGAATGAATAACAATCTTAATATAAATAAAAAACATGATTTTCAGATGGAAAATTACCCTTAACCTATATTCTTACTCTCAGTTAATATTAAGTAGTTATTAATTTACTGTGAAGTCTATTATCCTAGTTGTCCCTGGTCTCTGTGCTGTGTAACTGCATGGCTGAGTTTCTTTTATTGTGGCAACAGTTTTTCTCAAATGAAAACAGTTCCTATTAATTCCATCATGTTGTGGATGTTATTTTCTCAGTTTCTGAGTATCAACTAATTATTTTTGCCAGATTTATGACATGTAAATAAGATATTCTGTCTGAAGTTCTGTTAGTAGAAGATTCAGATTATATTATTAACTTCTCAATAATTTATTGACCTGGGGCCAGATTCACGAACCTCTCATTAGTTAAGATGTGTCCTCAGCGTTGTTTCACAACAGCAGGCTTTTGTATTTGAATGATACTTACGAGACGTCTTAACCTCGATGGCCTTTGTGAATCTGGCCCATTATTTGTTACATAGTCATTCATTCTAACTTGTGTGCTTAAGTTATTGTGACACGGACTGTTTTATGTTATTAATAAATCCATCAGACACGCACACTCATTTTGTTACTGTTAGTCCAAGTTTAAACTGTCGTCAAAATAATGATTATCATTTTTCATAGTGATTTCTGTGCATCTCTTTGAAATACTGTGTAATTTATGGTAATGTTTTGGTATATCAACAATCGGGTACAATGATATTTGGAATAATTATGATTTCAGAGATTGGGGAATGATGTAACCTGAGATTAATTACCACTGGGCTGAGTTGTTTGAAAGCCAGTTACTACAATTATCGGTTGAGTAAGGCACGACGGAAGTTTGGTGACAAAGTTTTGGCCTAAAAATTACAGTGTTGTCATGGGCAACTTACCTCATTTCCATTGTTAACAATATCAACAGCTGTGCGTCGCCTGTTTTGTCACCTACAATTTCACGTGCTTTGCTGCCAGTGATGTCAAAGGCCTACAAATTGCCACTGGAAATGGAGCCAGTTGTCCGTGACAACAACGCAATTTTCACATTAAAACCTGGTGACCAAACTTTTGTTGCACCTTACACAACTGATCATTGTACTAGCACTAACCCAGGATTAAAAGTTAACTGAGGCATTAACTTTTTGGTGTCTAAAAATGTTTCTTGCTGCTTACGGTTTGTGTAGTTCAAGATTATTCCATCTCAAAAGTGAGTGACAAAGAGTATGAACAGAAAACCTCACCAAAAAGTAGTTACAAAAATGAAATAAGAACTCTTGTTAATCCTGGGTTAGCTTAATTCAGAGTTGAACAACCCAACCCTGGTTGTTGTGCATGCTTTTGAAACAGGGATAAGCTCTGACTGAGTGATTATTTTGGACCAAGGGTTTGATTTCAATTGTTTGTTGTAAAATGACCTGCTAGGCTTGTGTGTCGTAACACACAATGCAAAATTAGTTACCAGTTTATACTTAACTAGCTGTTGTGACCTCTTCTGCTGGTACTGTTTTAAGGGTAGAAAGACTAGTATATGCATGTACTGGTCATAGTTGTGGCAATTCTGCAGCAATGATTTTGACGAAGTGCATGTTGAGAATGTTAATAAGGACTAACAGATCACGGCAAACAGGTTCAATATCCAGTTAAAAGCAGTCAGTCGAGGCAGACCTACAATCCTGTTTGTTGTTTAAGTGCCTATGACTTTTGAGGTGTGAAAAGTAAATGTCAGATTGTAAGAGCTATTAAATCATAATCTTTTTTCAAACTCTTCGGCAGATTGTTATCGTGATTGCGATATAAATAGCCTTAAAAATGTCTCCAGGCCCCCATTGATCCATAGTTTACACTAAAACGTTCTGGAAGCTCCCCCGAGTCCGTTCTTTCCGATATAGCGAAACAAACTTGGCATGGTATTCGGTTTGCATTCAACTTCGTTATAATTCATTTCATTTTGTCCTTAATGGAAGGGGGGTGCGGTTGATTGGAGGATCCTTGCTTATGTGAATTGGGTAGCTGTTTGTTTATGTTGCAAAGCTGTTGAATCACATGGGGAGGTTAACCTGCCATCTTTTCCTCGCGGCAGCAAGAACGCCTGATCGCAGGTTACCTGCTCATGGCTCGTCACGCAATCTTTCAGAGGTTGCGTGACGAGACATAAGAACGTCCACGAAAACAGTAGCTAACAGTGGGTGGTGAAAACTCGGAATTCCACCAAGACAAAACGACTTCTTTCTCCTACCTTAGGCTTGACCCATGCTTGCTCAACAGATCCTATTTTGCGTGTCTTCCCAGGCGGGATGAGAGAAAATGCCATATGCTGTAGCGTAGATAATAATGATAATAAAAACATCGTTAAAGGAAGTAGCACAGTATTCTTCAAGCATACGTTACGATTTAAGCCGTTGATAAGACAATCCACGAGAAGGCTATCGCTCAAAATGTTACATGCAATCGAAGATTTGGCTCTGTTCTCGTATACCGATTCACAAGAACCGATACAAAAGACCCAGCAATGTTCAACAGCTAAACAGAGGTTCGTAAAGAAAGGAGTACAATGGTTATTTCCTCTGTGTACCGGTACACCAGGTCACAACCGAAGATTTGTTTTAACACGTGAGTCACGCGATCTTATAAAGGCTCGGCTGCCAAGCAAGTTAAGACAACAGTCCGAGTACGGTATCTACGAATACGAAAACCACGTTAAATATATTATGAATATGGGTATGCAGATAGGATGATCTTATGCCGTTTTCCTGGTAAACTAGTCAACGTTTGACATCCTTAACCAGGATGATAGACGTAAATTACATAGCCGATGTTTTATATGGAGGTGTAGACTTTTCTCTGCCCGGAAATGGCGGAAAAGAATGCGCGGCGTTCTTGTCTTCGAAGCAGAGAATTGTTGAAACTGCGGTTTACGAACTCTTCACCTGCTTCGTCTTGTGGAAAATGCTGGGCAAAGTTTCTATTCCTGAGAAATTGCCGGTATACAGAGAAGGTACTGGAGTCGGCAAAAGACTGCTTTTAGTTGTGCATTGTTTGATTTTTGGCATCGAAATTGGTTTCAAGTTCGCCACGAAGCAGGTCATATTTCTTCTGAACCCTTGCCACGTTTTGACAGCTATTCAGGTAAGCTGTGTTACCATCCTTCCAAAAAAAAAAAAAAAAAAAAAAAAATCGGCAGCCACGTTTAGAACGCCTCAGGTAAAGGGTCACACGTGAAATGTGTAAACTTCTGTTAATCCGAAAGGATAGAAAAGCTTTTAGCTCAGAAATTTGTCTGACCGTATTCCGAGTCAACAATCATAAGCACGCACTTCAAATATATCAAGACTTATGATCTATTCATCAAACTCACTGACGTTCGCGTTCTCTTGTATAATTTGGGCCATGGATAATTCATCCTTGGCTGATCCTTGGTATAATTTTGGGGGAATTTTATGTAGGTGGTGCTGTGCAATACGTTGTCTTGTGACGCCTGTTTTCGAAACTGCATGTCGCCTGTCTTTGATTTTTAGAGAAGTGTCACAGGAAGGGGTGGTAAGAGTGGTGGTGGTGG